AGAACAGACTCACCATTCCCTTCCCTGGACACCCTCCAGCCCCTCAATGTCTCGTGAGAGGCCCAGAAGTGTCCCCAGGACCTGAGCTGCGGTACAGGACGACAGTCACCGACCACACGTGGACCCTGCGAGCGGCAGCCAGGGACAGACGTGTGTCCCTGCAGGGTGTTTTCAGAGGGAAATGCCAGTGCCTGGGGCTGCCCCTGGGCAGAGGAGAGCCCTGTCCCCACAGACCTGCTGTGCGGCGCCGTCGGTGGCCATGACCCTGCGCTCGCGCAGAGCCTCCACGCCGTAGCGCTGCCGGTACCGCCGCAGGCACCGCAGCCGCTTCAGGCTCTCCCTCTCCTTGGCCATCAGCCCCTCAGGGCCCGTCAGGAGGCTGCTGCCTGTGGGAGGGAGAAGAGGGTCAGGGATCTGACAGCCAGCGTGGGTGTCACGACTCTCAGGGAGCTCTACACACGCGTCCATGCGGACGGGAATCACATCTCCGGGTGATTCTACCCCAGATTCCACCCCGACCTCTCTGTGCACACTCAAAGCAGCACTTTGGGCCCACAGAGTGGTTTTAAAACTCCCTTTAAAAGGGAATCCAGCCACTGCTGAGCATGCTGGGATTTGTGCAGCTTAGCCGGAGTTGGACCATCCCAGCTCGCTCCGGTGTGAGCTCTGGAAGCTTCCTGCCAGCATTCCCAGAGTAATTACAGGGCAATGCTCAGGATCTGCATTTCTCTCACTGGTTTGCTAAAAAGAGTTCTGCAAAATTGGTATGTACCAAAGTCCTGGTTATTTTTACTTGGGTCTGAACTGAATTATGGCATTTTCCAGGATGAGCTATTAAAGGATTGTGCTGGAAGAAAGAATCCTTTGCTCTGCAGTACTTGGGATCAGTTATACAACCCAGTTCTGCTTCTGCTGAACAGGGAATTCCTGCTTTTGATAGCATGTTCTGCACAGGGAGAGCTCCAGCTGAGGCAGAGGGAAAGCTGCATCCATGTTCAGGAGGAACATGCCAGTACAGCAGCACTGGTGTTACTGGGACCAACTCCTGCCATGTACCAGGGCCTAGGGATGGATAATTCTTGTTTATAAAAGCAAAAACAGGAAATCCAGGACAAAAAAAGCACTTTTGTCTCAGAATTAACTTTGTTAGCTCATTTCCTGTCAGTGCTGCAAGCTTTGAAGAGCAAAGAAACGTGGAAAAGCTTTGCAACCACAACGATAGGGATCTCAGGGCATGGAGCCAGCAGAGAAACATGGAATCACTGAGCTGGGAAAGACCTCCAGGATCACTGAGTCCAAACTGTGGCCCATCACCACCTTGTCAACCAGAGCAGAGCACTGAGTGCCATGCCCAGTCATTCCTTGGACACCTCCAGGGATGGTGACTCCACCACCTCCCTGGGCAGCTCCTTCCAATGCCTGGCAACCCTTTCCATGGAGAAATTCTTCCTGATGTCCGACCTGAACCTCTCCTGGCGCAGCTTGAGGCTGTTTCCCCTTGTCCTGTTGTTCCCCGGGAGCAGAGCCTGACCCCACTGGGCTGCACCTCCTGTCAGGGAATTGTGAGGAGCAGAAGGTCTCTCTGAGCCTCCTTTTCTCCAGGCTGAGCCCTTCCAGCTCCCTCAGGAGTTGTCCAGACCCTTTCCCTCACCGATGGCCTCGTGCTCTCCCCTCCTGCTGTGCAGGAACTGTCGCTTCTTCTCCTTCAGCAGGTGCTGGAGACGCTTGAACTGGTCGATGTAGAGGGACTGGAGTCGGATCAGCTTCTCCCTCATGATCAGAGCCACCTCCTCGGCCGTGTACACCCCAGCGTGCCTGCAATACCCACAGGGAGCTGGAGGGGTCCAGGGGGGATCCCACAAAGGCTGGGTGGGACCCTTGGGGCTGTTGTCCTGAACAGCCTGGAGGTCCAAAGCATGTGATCCCCCAAAGGGTGTGGGGATCCCAGGGGGTTATTCTCCTGAAGGATGTGGGGGTCACTCAGGGCTGTTCCCCCGAAGGATGTGGGGGTCACTCAGGGCTGTTCCCCTGAAGGATGTGGGGGTCACTCAGGGCTGTTCCCCCAAGGGATCTGGGGGTCCTTCAGGGCTGATCCCCCAAATGTTATGTGTGTCCCTCAGGGTTGTTCTCCCAAAGCATCTGTGGGTCCCTCAGGGTTATTCTCCTGAAGGGTGTGTGGATCCCTCAGGGGTGTTGCCCTGATGGGTGTAGGGGTCCCCTGGGGGCTGATCTCCACAGGGTGTTGGGTGTCCCTTAAGGCTGTTTTCCCTTGTCCTGTCCCTTGTTCCCTTGGAGCAGAGCCTGACCCCCACCTGGCTGCACCTCCTGTTAGGGAGTTGCAGAGA